GAAACTCACCAATGCCAAACTATCCCTGCAGTCTTCTGCACTGACGTCAGCACATGTCAGGGGAGGTAAACTCGTCTGGGCAGCAATATTGAGGGAACTGGCAAGAATCGTACCCACTCAGTTTTCAATGTAGTAGATTTACTTAGCTGAAAGGAAAACTGTTGAATATGGCAGATTTTCATGAATGTCAATAATGTTTTTATTGAAACTGGGTTAGGGAGGTGTTAAAATAACTTAATTATCAGTTTGGAGACTGCATTGAACTGTATATGTAACTGAATGCAATGTAAACAGCTACTCTGTACATGATTACTGAAAACAAACAGAGGTTCATGAATCCAGCCTGCATGTACAGTGAAACGTTAAATTTAAATTGAGGTTCTCTGCTGTAGATGAAGAGGGAAAACTGTAACTGAAAATATTTGAAATCAACAAGATGCCTGTCATGAGTTCACTTTGCAGTCTCTTCCAAATATTACTAACCCTTCATTGGGCTAAAGAGAACTTGCTTTTAAGGCTTTTTCCTTAATCCAAACAGGATCCCATTGAAAATATGTGATATTGACGTTACAGCGTATTTGTTTGTTTCTTTTAACTGAGCCTCAAGAGTGTGAAAATCCCTGTGCAACTCTTTCAGTTATGTGGAGCAGATCAGACCCTGCTGCATTATATTGTATGCCTATGTTATCGAACAGTGTCTTTGCACGTTAAAAATCCCCCCACACCAACAAATGAACCCACAGGGCTTCTTCCAAACACCTCACTGTCAATAGGCAGACGTCATCAAAATCCTTGCTCCCACTTTGCAAGTTCATTTGCACTCGTTTAATCTCCCAAACACATTCTGCCTGTTCTGCTCTCTCTTTCACTGCCTCTTGCAGACTGAGATGCATCGCTGTAATAGGGAAGGGGACACACACACAATGTTCTCCCACCCCTGCCACTGCTTCTTGACAAAGTACACTGTGCATCCCTGGCTCACTCTTTCAAAGAGCCTCGGTGCATTATGGTAATTGTTCTGTCGTCTTTGGTCTCGTAGCATCTCTCTCTGAGCTTTACAGTTTCTTTTTTTCATTTTCCTGCTCACTGTCAGCACTGTGGGTCTTAACACACAGCAGCTGAAAGCTTGTGTCGAACACATGCACACACATGCTGTCTGGAGTGTTTGTGCATATGTGTGATTGTGTTGAAAGTGTAAGGAGCGGTCCAACAACACATCCCTTAAATATGCACCTCCACATGTAAAGCCTCTGAAATGTGCTGAGTACACTGACAGGGCCTGTCGCTGTTTGAATAGACCAACACCATGTCAGGCTGAGTGTGTAGAATGCATTAAGATGTGCAAAGCATGACTGACTGTGTGTTGGAATGTGAAAAAAAAGAAAGGTCAGAGGTCATTAGGTAATGGCCTCAGGCCACTGTCACAATAAAAGGAGGCGGACAGTCTACTGTGGATATTTATGTTGAGGCCATTGGCGATGATGATTTTATAGTTGATGTTTTACTCAGCTTTTGGCACCTGGAGAAGACTTGTGATGGCTGCTTTGCTAAAAAGGAGAAAATAACTGAACAAAAATCTGATCTTGTAGCTAGATCTACTACTGTGTGCTTTTGAGTATAAGAGTGGTTCAGTATTCTAATAATGCAACACTATAGATCGTGGACATGTAAAAAACAAAAGCATAAATAAAAGAAAACAGCCAGAACTTTTATAAGATGACGAACTCTGACCTGTATCCACTGATGTGGTCGAACATTAAATCTGTGCCCTACTTTCATACTACATCTATTTTAACCAGGTTTTAGGCATGGCATCATCAGGTCGATTCCCAGCCTTGTTACATGTCATACAAAAGGAAAACTCTGTCCTTTCCTCCCATGGCTCTCTCTAAACTGGTGCCCCTTTAAAAAAGCTAGTTGTCAATTGATCATCAGAAAGTACAACATCAATTTTTGATAACATCTCATTGTTGAAGTTGTTCATCAACCTTTTTCTGTTTTTACATTCTGAAATATGAACATTTGCTAATCTTCTATGATTGACACAAAGGAATCATAAACCAGACAAGTTGTACATTCCATGACTGTAAGGGATGACCCTGGGGGAAATCACATGGCCACTTGCTGATAAATTTCCATATGTATGAAAATGTAAATGATTACTGGTTTATTTATATATTCATCTCCCACCTGATTGTGTTATTTTGCACTGAGCACTGTTATTTGCAGTATTTATTTGAATCATTTCACAAATGACCTGAGGGATTTTTGTAAAATCTTACAGTTCCTAAGCCAACCTGCAAGGTTCCCATACATCATGTTATCCTCTGTTGTACTGTATGCTTAATCATGTTGATTACTTTAATACTAACTGGCAAAAAACACTTTACAGTATTATTTTGTTAGAGGTGAGACACAGCTTAGCTGGGATGGAAGGTGATCAGGTAGAATCAATTGAAAACAGCTCACTTAGAACAAGCTGATAGCCCAGATCAGATACCAAGGTGGTGTACACTGAAAATAAAAATGCTCAATCAGCAACACAGTGGTTGAATCAAGTGTCGGTGCAGAATTTAGTTTCAGGACCATGGACAGCTTCACAGGACACCTCTACATGTCATAGGAGACGGAGCTTCTTCTGTAGTCTTCTGAAACCCAGTCAGTTCTGATCATTACAGCATCATATCATTTTCATGAGCACTTTGTAGCTGTTTTACATGACTTGGTCCTTGTTTGGTCTCTTAGCGGCTGCTGTACCATTGTGTTTTTTGCCTCTCTTTATGGTTACTTTGCATCACTTTTCTTTTGTCATTTCACGCCACGTTTTTTGTTTTTCTTCATGATTGTTTTATCGTCTTCTGTGTTGTGTATCTTTATGGTCATTTAATTGACTTTCTATTAAGGAGTGTCGGGAGACACCAATAAGGCAACTAACTATCCCCATCTGACTGTTGCACGGGGGCCACCCCCCACCCCTCAGCCCCCTCAAATGAAGAGGATCACAGTGGCTGAAATGTTGAATTCACTCTGATGCAGGATGTTAGACGACACTGCGCTGCACAGTCTGGATTTATAGATGTTAGTTATTAGTCTTGCAACTTATTCTTCAAACAAATCAATTAAATTATGTAAATGTGCACAGCACTCAGCACTTGTTCAGTGGTGCTGGGTCTCTTTCTGTTTGTATGTGAGTGGAGGGAGGGTGCATTTGAAAGACATGAGTGGGTGATTGGTTGAGTGGGTGGAAGGACCGTGCGTGTTTGCGTTTGTGTCTGCGTGTCTGTGTGTGCGTACGCGCGTTTGGTACAGTGTGTGAGTGTGTTGGATTAATTTTCAACTGGTGCTGCACAGACTGAACACTGTGAAACACTCCAGATAAAATCCGTGTCCTCTGGGTGGAGGGCATCCTGACACACACGGACACACACGGACTGAGAATGGCCTCGAACTAGTGGAATCAATTAGTGAACTTGGCTGAGTGCTTAATGTTGCTACCAGTGCTTGTCAGTACTTCTCAGCTCCATTTTAAAGTGAATATATTCAAAATGGAATCTGGTGTTGGGCTACGGATGAAGGGAGTTGATTGTCACTGTGTAATTTTCGGTCTGACAACCTTGTAAGTGCGAGAGGCGTAGGTGTGCTCGTGACAAGGAGCTTGCTTTTCAGCTGACAGCATCACAATGCTTGTCTCTGGATGGTTTTCCTCTAATCAAAATCACATTATTCAAATCTTTGGAAATGTTAACAGAGCAAACCTCAAACTTTTGCTTTTAATTCCCTCTGAACCCCCAGCAGCCCTGTGCATGTGTCGGGTTATAATTACACAACTATCCTCATGGCTGTGGAAAATTTTGACCTCCGTTTGGGCTCTCTGGATGTCAGAGAGGGTCCGACTAGGGTCAGAGCAGTGCAGTACAGTCCTGTAATGTACTAAAGGCTATGGGACAGTGACCCACTCTGTACACCCACCATTTTCACACAGCCACCGAGGACCCCCCATTTCTAAGTATGAAAGACTTCCTTTCAACTCTGCGACAATCTGGGGTCATGATTAGGTCAGCACTGAGGGGCTGATAGTAAGGAGTCCCCTCTCTCTACTTCTAAATAAGTTCCATAAAAGTTAGAAATGGTAGAGAAAGCATTTGTGAATCATCATATTCTGTATCTGCATAAAGTTCTGTTTCACTGTGATGACAGTCTTGATAAAGTGAAAGTTTTTTCCCCACAAAGAGCACTAAAGGTTAGAGCTTTTCAAAAGGTCGCCAGATTGGATTAGGATTGTGTAACTCTGCAAACATGAAGTGGTTTGTGTCTGCTCACTGTATCCTCTCCCTGGACGGCAGTTTAAATAAAGTACACACACACACACAACAGCCGCCGAGCAATCGTTGTCCAGCAGGTTTAAGAGGAGATCCGAGATGATAAAACCCAGATGTGCTCTTACCATTTAGCATCGAGAGCCACCATAACTCTTAACCCCATGCTCGTATTTCAAACAGCGTTGTTTCTGGAAGATAAATGTGATGGAAACAAAACAAAAAAACACATGTTAGTGTTATGAAGATGGAAGGCTTCAGTTTCCCGGTGGAGGCAGCGACAGTCGGAGTGTGGAAATGGTCGGATGTTGCTTGTTTTCCAATAGCCACAGTTTCATTGCTTGTTTCTTGCAAATCATTTTGCACAAACAAGCATGAATAACTTGATATCTCAGGAAATTGAATAATAGCTGGGCTCATGGTTCACTGCAGAGAGGAAATAAGTTCTGTGACTGTGTGCCAGGTTGTTCATGTACTGGTTTGCCTTTGATTCCAAAACGGGTTCAAGAGTTTGTCACAGAGGAAAATGCAGCGAATGATTCCAGTGTACTCTTCAGTTCTGAGATCAACAGACCAGCGGAAATTATGTTTCGACCGATTCCTACGTCAGATCATTGATGTCCTCCTCTTTGATGCCAGTTTTGTGTATATGTTTTGATAACTGTTCTGATTTTCTTTTTCCAGGTTCATCTTGGTCTTCAGCTGTCTGGTGCTCTCTGTGTTCTCAACCATCCCGGCTCATCAGGACTTTTCCTCCTACTGTCTCCTCATCCTGGTAAGATACTGGACCAGCATCAGAGCAAAAATAACTTTTTTCAACAAACCTTTACCCTTAGTTTTGCCTTATCACCTTTCGTGTTTATTTAATCATCATTATTGTAGGTATACTGGGGAGAGTGCTGCTTGAAATTGCAACACAGAAATCCCACAATATTTGTTCAGTTGGTCAAAACATATTTTTGTCATCATAAATATCAAGTTTATCAGGCTCAGGATTTTAGATACAAAGAAATTGTTGAAAGTCCGTGTTTTGGGGACTGTGCATAACATTTCAGAGCAATTCATCCAGTACTTCAGCGTGGACCAATCTGTGGATGAACTGATTATCCAACACATCAGTATTGCTCCCCCTAGAGCCACACAACTAGCATGGCTAAGAAATACAGTAGCATCTCTATAGTTTACATATCCAATGTGCAACAGTTTGTCCATAAGTCTTAACACCATTGGAGGGTTCTTGGGCCCTCAGGAGTCAAGACAAAAGAATAGAAGAGCAATTAATAACAATGCTTTCACACCTACTTAGAAGTGGAACCAAAATACCAGGTGTGAAAGGTGCCTCAGACCAGCACACCAAAATGTAGTCTGATCAAAAGAGGTGGTCTCAGCCCGAATCAAAGCATTTACAGTTTGAACATTTCAGACTTTTGGACTAACTGCAGGAAGTTTAGACAGCCTTGAACAATAGAAGGAGAAAAAGAAGTGGGAGCAGCTCACAGGATGCCTGTTGTTTTTGCCACTGATGATATATTGATTAAAAGTCAAGGACGTAGGTGTTGCTGGTAGTAATACCATAACGATATTACAGCGGCAATGAAATGAACAAAATGAACCTGTTCGTTCTTCTTCTCCCTTCAGAGAGAACAAAAAGCATTTCTGTACATTATCTAAACAATGTAACAGATTCTTAACGATCAGTGAAGTTCTTTGTTTTTCATTACTTTCTGTTGGCATTGAACTGTGCTGCCAGGAAAGACAGAAAGAGCTTCCAGTGGGCACAAGATCAAAAATGCTCCTAAAGTATGACTCAGCATGTTTTTCAAAAGCCTCTACCTGGAAGAATTACAGGTCACTATGTGTACAAACAAGCTGCAGCGAGCATCTCAATAAACATTTCACAGTGCTCAATGCATCTGTGTTGTTATCTAAGCTGTGTGTGTGTGTGTGTGTGTGTGTGTGTGTGTGTGTGT